CTGGAATTTCACATACTAATTCCAAATACAATTCTGATATCTGTACTAAGTGGAGTTGGTGAGTCCAGATCTGAAAGAACAATATAGCAAACGTAGTATTGCATCCACCAGTGGCAGGGTGACAGGGTCAGCTCCCTGAGTGCCAGTGGGGATGGCGAGGGTGAAAGAAACTGGCTTTTTCCACAGCCATGCAATCATGACAGCAGCAGCAATCAAAAGTTTCTGTTGTCCCTGTGTGACAGCTGTCTAAGGTGCCTGGTCACGTTGTTTTTCTGCTGGCATTCACAAGCCATGATAAATTTGTTAATACCATTGGGCCAAACGAGCTCTCAAAAATGCAAAAAACTTGCAAACAGCCTCAAAGCTGTTTAAAAATATGTTATTATAGAGGCTTAAGAAAAGTGAATACAACAAATCAAAAAGGGCACCAGAACATTCAGCAAAACCCCTTCATGGTTTAATAGCAATGTTAAGGTTTTGAAAGGCAAAATGGCACCAAAGAATGAAGGGTGTGTCAAAATGAGGGAAACAGGAGAGCCCACAAGCTCCATTAGGCCAGTGTCAAAGTGTACATAATAAGGTAGGGGAAAACAGAGTTTGAGAACCATTTCAAAAAGGGTGTTAAAGTTAATAACAACTTCTTTAAATGAATCAGTAGGTAGGAAGTCAGCTAGCGAATTGGTGGGATCATTAGATGTAAAAAGGTGTACTCAGGGATGATGATGAGAGGGTAGAGAAGCTAAATTAATTATTTTAATTTGTTTTTTACTATAGGAGATATTGGTAGAATCCCCACATCAGATACATTCTTAGCAAATAGTTCTGAAGGGTTGGATCACATTGAAGTGACAGCAGACATGTGACAGGCCTCCTGCTCTGTTACATCATTGATGCCCCAGGGGAGCCAGTTGGGGCTTGCTTGGGCCCTCCAGATTACTAACAACCTCCCTACCTCTTCTGCCATGCCTTTGTTTTTGGTCTTTGGTTTGGGAGGCAACCCTCACATCACTGGAGTGGAACCTCGTGCTTTTTTCTGCCATGCTCATCACAGGGCTCCTCTGCCTGGGCTAAATTCAGTTTCTACAGGGTTCCTTGCCTCTCTGTTTAGTCCTCTGGGCTATTTGCCCCTTAGTTTGGTTCACCTGAGGGCCTGATAAGCCATTTTCAGCTTCCCCAGGCCTGGCAGCCCAATTAGCTTCTCTAGGGCCTGACTGCTCCCTGGTATACTCAAACCTATACTCAAACTCAAAATAGACTGTGCACCTCTTAAGAGTATCTGCTACAGTCTCCTTTCTCTCCTTATAGCCATCCATGTCTGCTGGGTTTTTGGCCCCAAATTAGCAACAAACATAAACTCTCTCCTGTATGCTCACTCCCCACGTTCTCCTCAGTCACAACTCTCACAGTGCCACTGGGAACTCTTTCCATGAGCACAGCCTGGGCCAGAATGCTTTCCTCTGCCCTGGAGCACAGCTTGTCTCTCTCTCGGTTCTGTCCCTTCCACAAACAACTTTCTTTGCCTTTGTGGCAGGGGCTCCCCATTACCTAATTACCAGGGATCCTGGTTTTCCCTGATACAAAATCACAAAATCTCTAATAAAAACAGGGAACAGTAGGGCCTCATGGAGAAGCTGCTCACCACTGTGAGCTCAGTGCTTCCCTGGTGATGCAGCCCCTGCAGACGCGACTTGAGGGGTGCAACCCCTGCGCCGCTGCCCTCACTGCAGCCACATGCAGGAGGTGCGTCACCAGGGCAGTGCAGAGCTTGCAGCAATGAGCAGCTTCTTTATGCAGCCCTGCTGTTCCCTGCCGTGCCAGGTCACACCCACTGGGCTGCAGAGGCCCCGGGGTAAGGCAGCAAAGTGGGAGCCCACGCCTGCAGCTCGTACCTACCCCATGCACAGATCTGGTGGGTATGGGCCCCCACTGCCCCCCTCGGGAGTGTGTGCCACAGTGGGGAGCTGGCCCCACCCCCCAGATGAGCCTCCTGGGGCCTCATCCCACTCCCTGCTGGGGCCCTGCAGCCACATGTTGCAGCCTCAGGTCCCAAGCCCCATGCAATGCCCAGCTGAGCAGCATCCCCAGCCCAGCACAGCTCCCTCCCTCCCTATGGGGGCCTTAATCCCCCTCTTCCCCCCACCTCCCTTTACCTGTGGGAGCTGCTGTCCAGGCTGCCTGGGTCCATGTGCATGTACATGCACGTGGCTCCCTCTGTCTCATCGCCCTCCTTCCGTTTGATCCCAGCTCTTGCCAGCCTGCAGGGAGCTCATTGTAAAACTGCCAAATCAGTGGTTTTCTCCAGTAAAATGAGGAATCCAGGTTTGCCTCCAGTAAAAGGTAAAATCTGCAGTTTACTTCATTTTTCCATGGGAAACAGAAAACCCAGATCCCTGCTAATTACTCTTGTTGCTATGCTGTTTGTAGCCCTTAGCTTATGACCTTGTACCATCTGACCTGCAGGAGTCAGAAAACAGATTCTCCCCTACTGCCACATTTCCAGACTTGTAGGGATCCTTATGGGCTGGATAATGTGCTAGATCAGTGGGTGGAGGTGGCCCAGGCCTGATCCAGGTACATACGTGCTGGCTAGAGGCAGTGTGGGCTCCAAGAAGGCACTGCAGGCCCCGATTCTGGCTGCACAGGACTGAGGGAAGTGGTGCAAGGCCCTGAGTGGGGCTAAGGGACATGTTCCAGGGCCTGATCCGGCCCATGGACCAGCCTTGCATGACTCTTCTGTCCTACTGTATCCAATGGTTCCATACCACTGGTTTATGGCTTTTCAGGAAGGCCCCTTCTAAGTAATGGGATTCCCCTGGTACAGGAAGTTTTAGTACCAATCAGTACATTAAATGCTTGATTAGTCACTGGGATTGGGCAACATTCACCTGAGAGTTCTGAAGGAACTCAAATGTTAAAATAGAAAACTGTTGGCAGTAGTATATATCAGTATGTATCATTAGCCCATGTCAAAAATCAATATCAGTTTTGAACATCATTAAGAAGGGAATTGAAATATCATTATTCTACTTAATAAATCTATGATGTGCTTGCATCTTGAATACTGTGTGCAGTTCTGGTCTCTGCATCTCAAAAAATATATATAGTAGAATTAGAAAAGGTACAGAGAAGGGCAACCAAGATGATTAGGAGTATAGAACAGTTGGCACACCAGGGAGACCAGAAAGCCTAGGACCCTTCAGTTTGGGAAGGAGTAGGCTGAGGGTGGTTATGATTAGACCTACTGAATTTGAGGCGACTGCCCACTGATTTTGCAGGCAGAATGCAGGGTCCAACAACCATTTCATGGGCAGGGTGTGCCACCCTGCCATGCCTCTGATAGGCCAAAGGGCCCTAGTGTCCCTGCCCCTTGCCGCTGATTGGCTGCAAGGGCTGCCTGTCATACAGCCCTGCCCCTCACTGATGGTTGGCAATGAGGACTGTCCATCATGTGGCCCCACATGCATAAACATATTTTTATTGTGAGTTACTGGTTCAAATTAAAATCCTTCTTTCACGAGTATGTCATTCGATCCTCAGTAATCGCATATCATTTTGATGAATCTCTTGCATGCTAGTTTAACCTCAAGAATGGCTGATTTTATATGCTAACTAAACACTAATTACATTTAAATTAAATGCATATTTGAAACACTTTATGCTACCAGAAATCTCAACTATTATGGTTTTGTTGAAGAAAGAAATATTCATAATTCATAGCATTCATATTTTCCTAGTGCTTTATTTTGTGCAGCAAACTGCCAAAAGGCAAGAAATTATCTGAATTCTGAATAGTGTAGAAGGAAAGACACGTGAAATGCAATGAAGAGAAAATATTTTAAAACATATATGCCTGTAATTGGTGTTCTGGAAAAAAGAAAATATAAATTTCCCTTACTTACTTTTCTACATAATATGTGAATTAAATATACATTGTAACAAACAGACATTTTAAAATTCCCAGTGCCATTTTTTTCTTTCCAATTTGCTGTAATTATAAAGAATTACCTCTTTTTATGTGCTCTCAAGAGGAAATGCATTCCTAAAATAAACAAGCATTAGGAAAAAAATCTGTAGAATATAATTCGTTAGTTGTTTTTGCAGCAAGTGAATGCAATAAAGTTTGCTTCAGTTGTTTTTAAGGAGTTGATAACTTATGAAATAAAAGATTCTTGGTTCAATTACATGGCTATGATTTCTGTTAAATATTTATCTAGCTTTTTCATGGCCTCATGCAACAAACCCAGTTTTTCTTTTCTTCCCCTCCCCCCACCACCAAAAAGAAAACCTGAAAAAAATTACCATATCTCATATTAGTACCACTCAGGGTGAATTTACTTGTTACATATAGACCAAACTAAGGGGACTTAAAATGCACACAACTGTACTTTGAAGCTCATTTATTTATGCTAAATGCCCCCTGAGCATCTCAGAGTTATGCCACTTTAGGTGCGAGTTAGCTTTGGATTGTGCTACTTAGCTCTTCAATTCCTATTCAGTCACTGTTACAAGCTTCCCCAATAATAAGAGTCCTGGGACAAAGTACTGTACTGTACATCCTGTATGGGAGAAACATCCCCATCTCTTTCCTGAGGTTTGTTATTATTAATATAAAAAGGAAGGAAGGTAACAAATACTCTGGTAATATCATGGCCAGTTCAAGCCATTCCACAAGTTTGGACTTCCTCAGCTTGCTACCTCTGGGCTATTTAGTCCAACCCTTAATTCCTGTGTAACAGGCCAAAGATACTTTGGTCAGGGCAACACAGCTTTCAATCATGTTTCATCCCACCTGTGTCCTCCAGGCACTGCTTGATATTGCAAGCAAGGTCAGTCTAAACTAGTGTCTCTAAGACGTACTATTAACCCCTTTGTGTTTTCACCATGAGTGTACTTGACCACTTGGTGACTGGTTTACAACAAGCATGTTATGTACCTCACTATTCACATCAATGATGAGTATAGCTCAGCATTTTTAACTTTCTACATTTGGTCCCTTACAGCTGTGCTTGAGAGGCCTCTGGATAAAAAGGCTGGTAAGAATTATGGTCCACCTGGCACCAAAAAGCTCATCTACTTCATTGATGATATGAATATGCCTGAAGTAGACACATATGGGACAGTACAGCCCCATACACTCATCAGGCAACACCTGGACTATGGCCACTGGTAGGTAACTTCCTGGGTACTGTTATTTATGATCTCTTTGCTGTTAATCTAGTATTGAGTTTGGAATTTTCTTTTTGAAATCAAATTATTTCCATAACCCTTTGCCTGGCTTAATTGACTGTTTAGCAGCAGACATGCTCTTGATGCCTTGGACTAGAGTTCCTCTTCAGTTAGAGCCACTGGGATAAATCTTAGTCATATAGAGCACATCTAAATGAGCAGCCACGTGCACTTTGTGGTTCCTCAAAGACTTTTGAGGTGCCACAGAATACACCCCACACACATTAAAAGGTTCTCTGTACTGCATATTTGCAGCACAGAATCAAAATTAGATATTGGGAAATCCCTAAAAAAAAGGTTTTAAAAAAACAAAGGGAGCGGCACCCATGGCTGCAGCATGTGCCTCCCAAAACTGGAGCCTGGACAACCACAGCCACACACTGGCTGGCGGGCAGGAGGCTCTGTGCACCCAGATTGTCACCGCTGCAGACCTGGGAGGCCCCCAGGACTGTAGGTAAGGCTGCTGGGGCCAACCCAGATGCTTGCCCCAGCGTCCCCTACTGCACCAGGGTAATTTGCCATGTACAAGAGTGCACATGCAGGAGCATTCCCCAGGGACAAGTAGCAGTGGCACAACTATATGCTGTTGCTATTTGTCCCCAGGGAAATGCATGTGCATTCTCATCCGGTCATGCCCATACATTCTGTAGTTTCTTGGTACTCCTATCCAACAGCAGTTTGCAAGCTTGTTTAATTGTAGGCTTTTATGGAGAAGCCTTTGCATCTTATAAATGCTCCCTGGTAGAGGTCAAAGAGTAGCACCAGGTATTTGATTATTATCTGTTTGGTAGGATTTTTACTACTGGATCCTGCATCCCTAATTTAAAAGATCTGTATGATTTTTTTTATTATGAATCAGCAAGAAAGAATGTTTCCTGACATGAGTAACTTGAAGAAAAAACTGTTGCAGTATTCTAAAAGATACAGCTTATATTGTTGAAGCCAGTAGCAGCAAGTATACAACACCTCTGTAGGGTAATGTTGAGGGATTCATTGCAGTTTGTTCCCTAGTGTACTTTCCAGATCAGGACAATTCCTGCAAACCCTTGGTTTCAGTTAGGGGCTTATTGTGAAGAGAAAAAAACCCCAAAAAACAGAGGGATACATGAGAAGAAGCAAAGTGACAAGGAATAGGATTCTTGCTTTGTGGGCTGTGAGAGGGGATGGAAAGAGATGAAGCATATATTAAATAAATAAAAAAGAAGTTATTTAAGTGAGATTTGCTGTCTTTCCTGATTTCCTGACACCGCATTCCATGTCGGCACTGGATTTATGACCCAGATACCTTGTTCCAGGTAGACCCAAACCCTCAGACTGACCATGACTTCTTTCATTTGATAATAGGCAAATTTCATTGCTATTCAGTGATAGCAGGTGCAAGTAGTGTAGGCAAGGCGAACAAAATAACACACCCTCCCCCCCATTCTATTTCTACCAGTCCTAGGGTTCACAGAGGAAGGGTATGCCTGGCCAGTACGTGAGCTTTGACCCTGTGTTTTTTTTCTTGAATGTTAGCAGTCTTGGAGGTCGAGGGCTGACCCATCATATGCATACATCTTAATTTGGTCTTACTTTGGGCATGCCCAGCCTCCTAATTTGGTCCGTACACCAAAACCAGAAATCCTAGGGGCTCTGCAGCTGGTCACTGTGACTTAGCCAGTGCTGCAGACTCCCTTAATCTTTGTTATGGGTTTTCAGGAAACAGTGTGATCCATGTCTTCAGTTTCCCAGCCTGTTTGTCTGCTGGCTTCAGACATAGTGGCCTTGAAGGAAACTTTGTCACAAACAGGCTTTTAGAAACCAATTAACCCTTGATGTTGCTTTGGACCACTGTTTTAATACAATATCTACTTTAACTGCCATGCAATTCTTAAAAGCAAATCTCTAAATATAATTTTCTAGCCATGACTGCATGCATAAGAAAACATACGCTGCATCAAACATCTAGTTGATATGCAGATTACACACACAACTGCCACTATGGGCCATGCTCCAAAGAACCCCCCTGGGTGTCATGTAACTGGCTCACCATACACCCTTTTGCATAACTAACAAACATTCCCTTCAAAGCTTAGCACCTCCATCATCACAGTCAGATTTGGTAGCACAGTGTTAGGCTCCTGGCCTACATTCATTTTATAGTGCTATGTGATCTGAAATCTAATCCCAACAATCACGCTTCTTGTCATACCATGTGTGCATGACAAGACATGTGATTTTGGGATCAGGAATTAGATCCCAGTCTCACTATTACTGCATGCCAGTGCAGGTGGAGCCCATGATAGTGAGCCAAAGCTACTCCTGCAATGGCAAGTTGAAAACAAGACACACAAACTCACATGCAGGAATGAAAATCAGCTGATTGTTGGAGTGGTCTGAACAGCTCTTGGTTCAGTTTTAAGACCTAGAGCTTTCTGGGTTGGGGATTGAAAATTACTTGATTTTAGGCCCTGGTAGGGATAGCTCTGGGTTTTTTCAGCCCCTGTCCCTTGTCTGTCCATGGCTTATCAAAACTTCATGCCTGGCAGCTCTGGCAGGACTACTGGGTACGGGGGATTAGAGACTCCTGGCAGGGGAGCCAAAGGGCTTCTCTGCTGGGGATTTTAAACCGTGCACCTGTCAGCCCAACTAGACTTGCTGCACATGAGTTTTAATGACCCCAGTGAGGAAGCCCTTTGGCTCCCCTTCTGACTCGTAACCTCAGGAGGGGCTGACAGCCAGTTAGATCGTCCGCTCCAACTGCATATTACTTTTGAGGAGGCATACAAACCAGCCATAAAAATGTTCTATATTATATGCAGAATATTTTTGTGGTTCATTTGCCATGTTATGGAACCTTAAATAGGGTGCATGTGTAGCACCCTTGTCATTTATGAGATGACTAACACATTAATCGCTGCATAAACATAATTTGTAGAGTGGACCTTAGATTTGCAATTTCCCTCTAAGCCTTCAGGCTTGATGAATGCTCTGCCCTTGTTAAAACCTCCTGCCTTTCCTGTTTGAAAACGAGTCTAAAGTACAGGAAGAGTCCTAGAATGAAAAGACTCTAGTTTTGCCCCTGTTGTATATTATTACTGTGCTGGCAATGCTCACAATGTATTTATTTTTGTCAGAGGAGGACTCGTTAACACACATAGGGCGTGTTTACATAGGATGTATACTCTGGAACTGACTAATTAGCTCCACAGTAAAATGTCACAGTCTACATGTGCGACCTTATCAGGTCACTGGACTAACAAACACTGTCAAACACTAACACACAGCATTGTTCTGTGCATCACAGTGCATGTGTAGATGATGACGGGGCTGGCTGGGGCATGAGGGTGCTGCCTGCTGGCTAGCCTGACACTAAAGCACCCGCCTGCCTCAGCCACCCCTTCTGCAGCATGTGGAGCCCCGTCAGAGCAGCCTTGGGTTGGCAGCCCCACTTGCCAAGTTGCCTACCAGCCTAGACTGCTCTGGGGTTCAACATGCTGCACATGATTAAACTCCATAGCAATATGCTCTGGAGTTTTTTGCTTCCGGGTTTACTTTCAAATGGCGTGCCTAGGAGCAGTAAACTCCAGAGTTTATTTGCACATATTAATCGCACATGTAGATGAGTCCACTAACTGTTAATCACTCTTGTTCCAAAACATATGTACTCAAAAGCTGGCAATACTTGTTTGTTTAATTTTGTTGACATCTAGTTAGAATAATTAATATGTAGAGTTGGAAGAGATTGCAAAGGGTCACTCAGTCCACCCCCCTGCCCAAACAGGTACCTTATTTCGAGACCACCTCAGACAAGTGCCTATCCAGACTCTTTTGAAAGGCACCAATGAAGGAGATTCTATAAGTTCCCTGGGCAGCTTGTTCCATTCTCCTACTTTTTATGGTTAGGAAGGTTTTTTTGTTTTTGTTTTTGTTTTTCTTTTTTCTGAGATTTGATCTAAATCTGCTGTGTTGCAGTTTACCCCCTTACTTCATGTCCTGGTCTCTGCAACAAGAGAGAAAAGTTGTTCTCTCTTTACCTTATGGTAGTCTTTCAAATATTTGAAAGCTGCTATTATATCTCCCCTAATCTTTTTACTGACCTTTTCTCTCAACCTTTTTTCATGCAGGTCTTATTCTAACACCTTTATCATCTTTATTACTCATCTCTTGATACTCGCCATTTTCTCAATATCCTTCTTAAAATGCCGAACCTAGAACTGCACACAGTACTTTAGCTGATGCCTCACCATTATTGAATAAAGTGATGCTATCATATCCCATGTCTTGCATATAATACTCCTGTTAACACAGCCCCAAATTGGATTTGCTTCTTTTGTGGCAACTTCACATTACTGATTCTGCTTTAGTCTGTACTCCAGCCAAACTCCCAGGTTCTTCTTGGCAGTGCTACTACCTATCCAATTATCTCCCATATTAAACTACCTAATTTTGAAATAGTTTCAGAAAAGTCCTAAATACAGATGCCTAAACTTAACATTGTAAATAGTTTCTTAGAAGGGCAAAATTTCTTGTTGAGGGCAAATCCTGTATTGAATCAATATAACTATATATGGAAACTGAATTGTTATTGTCCTTATTTATAAACGTTACTGTAGGGCTTACCTTTTTCCTGTTCTTGAATGCATGCTTTTGCGAGGCACATGTAGAGTCATCTACTCCATTCCCTCGGTGAAAGCAGGAACATTGCTGTCTAAGCCATCCCAGATAAATGTTTGATTAACCTGCCCTTAAAAGTTTCCTGTAATGGGAATTTCACTCCCTGCCTAGGTAATCTAATTCCAGTATTTAACCACCCTCCTAGTTAGAAAGTTCTTCCTAATATCCAACCAATAGTGTAAAGTGGGGTGCGTGTGAAGGGCCTGTGTCCTGGGTGCTGCCTAAGGAGAGGGGCACCAGAAGGGTGGAGGGAGAGTGCTTCACTCCAGGACTCCTGGCTGCTTCACTCTGCCTGTACTTCCAGTTACAAGAAGCAGCTGGTGCAGGCAATGTGTGTCATAGAGCACAAATTTTTTTGAGAATTGACCCCTTTTTCTTTTTTGCTTCCAAAATCAGCATTTTTTTTCCCTCTGGACATGGGCTTTGGTGGGAAAAAGGGATGAAAGTTTTATCCTGGCAGCAGCAAACTCCGCTGCTGCTCTAAAGAATTACAGTTCCCAGGACACCTTGCACTGGCTGCTGCTTGCTGTTGTTTTTGTACCTGTAAGCCAGAAGGCATGGGAGAAGACGGGGAAGGGTGTGGGAGGATTCTCTAGCGCACATTTTTTCGATGCTATGCCTCTGCATTCAACCAAAATGTCCTGTGTAGCATTTTAAGCTCATTACTTTTTGTCCTGTCCCTGTGGGCATAGAGAACGGCCCTTTATAACAACTCTTTCTATATTTGACGACTTTAAAAATATCCCCTCTGTCTTCTCTTTTACAAGCTAAATAATCCCAGCCTTTTCCTAGGGTAGAATTCTGTTTTCCTTTGTGCATCTAAATAACAGCTTTCTAATCATGTAAAATGGTATTTTTGGTAAATACATGCAGATAACAATTATGTTTCCCTTGTAGTATGGATGCAAAACTGTGCATGCATTGACCAAGCGTGTGCAGTAAACTGTGTATTGGCCAGGCATGTATGTGGCAATGTACTTATGCCCACTCTGGACATGTACATGCGTCTAAGTCCCAAGATCATAGCTAGCCAGAAACCTATGGCTAGAGGATGTAAGATGGAGAAGAATGAGTCTCCACATTTTGGCTCCAATACCTGAGTGGTTAAAACATTCACCCAAGAAGTGGGGAATCCTGTTCTAGGCCCCCTCACCTGGAAAGGGGTTGCCCAGAGATGCACAAATGCCCTCCTCCCCCACCTGCTGGTGCTGCTGCCACCGCCTGCCAGGGTTATGCACCATAGGGGGATGTGGGAGGGGGTCCCCACACCCCCCACCCTCCCTCACACCCACAAGATGCCCACCCGAGCTCTGCACTGCTGCCGACCCCTGGGTGTGGGCTGTGCGCTGCTGTCAACCCCACACTCTATTCTCCCACCTAGCTGCAGCTCCACCCCTGCTACTTCCTTACCCGCTGCCCAAAGTGAATGGGATGTGAAGGGATCTGAGCAGGTTCCTGGTGGCTTCAGCAGTAGCCCTGCCTGGAAACTGCCTGCTGGCTGGGCCTGGCCCATCCGCCCCCAAGGGCGGGAGTGAGGCACAATAGGGTATGTTGGGGGCATAGGTATATGTGGATGCCTTGCTCCCATCCTCGCATGTGGAAGGGCTGGACAGGGTACAATTCTTTGGTGTGTGCTGCAGGCCAGATAAAAGTGCCTAGCAGGCTGGATCTGGCCAATGGGATGTATTTTACCCACCCTTGGTCTAGGCTGGTCTGATATGCCAGCTCTGGCATTAGTCTGTGCTACTTTGTAGCAGGACTGACAGATATGTAAGTGAAAAACTGTCACAGATGCACTCAGACACATTTAGCAGACAGATGTTCATAGGTGGCATGGTACTACTATAATTACTGTAATTTTTTTTTCTTTTTTCTTTTCTTTGTTTTTTTTTCTTGCAAAAGGTATGACCGAAACAAATTGTCCCTGAAAGAGATCATGAACGTGCAATATGTGTCATGTATGAACCCTACTGCAGGGAGTTTCACAATCAACTCACGTCTTCAGGTAGAGACATATTGCTGATTACATTATGGTTTTAGCATCGTTAGACTATCTTCAAAGTATTCTGAAAAATAATATGTAGGAGAAGATAGTATCTATGACCCTGAAATTAATACTTTAGCCTTAATAAAGAGTCATGGCCATATTCTGGTGTCAATAACATCAATATAAATTCATTTTTAAGTCAATGTATTGGCAGACTTGAGTGTGGAATAGTTCCTTATTCCCTCATTTTTGGTCTTTCACCTCTATATTTCTTAACATACTACTGTTTAGAGCTAGAGCTGGACTAAGACTTCTTCCAGCCAGCCAAACCTGGTTTCAGAACAGGTGCTAAGGCATTACAAATTTATTTTAAATTAAACTATTTTAATTAGAATGTTCTTTTAAGTATTAAATATTTAACCCTCTGATTGTATTCACTCAAGCCTTTTTGTCTTGTTTTATAAAAGTTAGCTACATTTTTGGCACCAACAACATAACATACAATTTAAAAATTATGAAAGTATATGGTAGTCTAAATTTTTGTAACAGGTATTAAATCTGTACTAAGGATTAAGTGATCCTCTATTACAGATGAGGCAGAGCCCTAGCACAGGGGGCAAGGTACTCCACATTTGATGTATATGAATTTGCTTGTCTCTTCCTGTAATATATTTGGGGTTAGCTACTGTGAAAAACAGGATTCTTTGTATTATGGACCTTCAGTCTGAGTCAATGTGGCAATTACAATGTTTCTTACGTAACTTGAGAAAAGCGTTCTCTTATTAGAGGATGTTCTTCTCTTGGCATTGAACGGCAGCACTTACCAAATGAGTGTCAAAGAGGCTAGGGCATTGCTACTTCCTGATCAGGTATACAGCCGTTTGCAGTTATCATGCCAGCAAGAAGTATGGAATCAAGCTTAGTTTTATGAGAAAAACAGAGAAACTCAGAAGGGATATGAAAGAATGACCATGGTAGTTATACAGTAGCAATATATTTTGCATGAGGATTAAATTCTGCCCTCAACAGCTATGTACATATTTGAACTGACATCAATTGAATGTTTATGGGAACATAAGAACTGAGAGCAGAATTTGCCCCTATTTCTTGACAAGCACTTTATGAAAGGAGTTGACCTCCTTAATCTAACTCCTTAATCTTCTTTACCAAGGTGCATTATTTTGTTAAAAATGGTTTCTGAGCAATGCCCAAGGCCATTGCACTTAGAAATGAGGCCAATACAATTATAAATTTGTCTGTGTTTTCCTTCTCTTCCTCAGCGTCACTTCAGTGTGTTTACACTCTCATTTCCTGGATCAGATGCTTTGTCCACCATCTACAGCACCATCTTAAGTCAGCATCTGAAAAGTGGGAATTTCCCTGGGCCTCTGCAGAAATCTGCTCAGCAACTAATAACCCTGGCACTTGCTCTGCACCAAAAAGTAGCTGCTATGTTTTTGCCAACAGCTATCAAATTTCATTACATTTTCAATCTACGAGATTTATCCAATATCTTTCAAGTAAGAATGGCAGCTTTTCTTCTTGGGCATTAAAGGCAGCATGTGGGTATTTAAGAGTATGTATTCCCCTCTCTGAGTCCTGCTAGGCTCAGCATGGCCACCTAAGCTTCTCAGGACATTCAGCTCAGTTTACCAAGAAAAGACTAAGCATAATTTTCTGAGTAAACATTTTTTCATAAAAGCTCCTTTACTTTTTGTCAATTTGAAACTTGTGACAGTAATTGAGGGCTGAGAAAACTGGTCCAGCTGTCAGAATGCTAATCTGGGATTTTTGTGACATGGGTCTGATTCTATATTATATTAAAGGGGCATAGGTTGTAGCCGTGTTGGTCTAAGGACATAGACAACGTTGTTTGGGTAAGTCTGATATCTTTTATTAAACCAACTCAAATAGTTGAGAAAATTCTTCTCTGCAAGCTTTTGGGTATAAATACCCTTTGTCAGGCTGAGGAAGCATCTGCAGTTGGTGTATGCTCTTCCTGGATGGAATGAATAGTGAAGAAGCCAGAGGCTGGTACACATGCAAGAAAGCTAGTCAGTGAAGATGTAAATTGAGGAATCAGTAGGTGAGAAGTTGGAGTTGGGGGGTGGGGAGTAGAATTGTAGCTGGTAAAGAGTGGAGGGATACTGGGGTGTCAAATGTTAGGAAGGTTATATATTATAAATCCAATGTTTATATTTAGTCCATTATTTTTTGTATTCAGTAGATTTATGAAGTGAAGTTCGCAGGCTTGTCTGTGAAAGGTGTTTTGTAAATTCCCTTTGAGGATTAGAACTGAGAGATTTTAGGAAGAGTGGTTTTCTTGTGAGAAATGTGACCCCACAGGTAACTGGGTATTCTTGTCTTTAATAGATTTCCAGTGTGTGTTCATTCTGGTGCACAGTTGTTGTTTGGTCTCTCCTATGTATTTTCCATCAGGGCATTTGGTGCACTAGATGAGAGATACAGTAAAAGTTCTGTTATCCAGCATCTTACAAGCTGGCATGCTGGCTTGTAAGATAAACTGAAATCGGAAGTGCCCGCCGTGGCATTTCTAGTTTCTCCGTGCTCCCATGGTTTGGGGCAAAGCAGCCTGCACTGCCAAGTCCTGATGGCCCGGGGCCATAACAAGCTGTGTGGGGCTGTGTGGGACCTGTTTTCCTGTCCTGTGGGGCCCAGAGGGCCCAGAGGGCCCCACATGAGCAGCAGCAATGCTGCGGGAGGGGTGGAGGGACGCCTCAGACGTGGCGTGAGAAGCGGTGGCCAGGGCCGCTCAATTAACATATTTTGTTATCCGGCATCCATATTCTGGAGGAATGTCGGATAACAGATCTTTACTGTATCACATTTCTGGAGGTGCAGCTGTAAGATCCAGGAATCCTGATGGTTCTGTTATAGGGTGTAGTAATTGTGGGTGTGGTGGAGATATGTTGCCAGGTTTTACATTTTTTGCCATGGCATGATCTGGATCAGAGATGTGGGTTTTCTGGAAAATTTTGAATTGGAAAAATTTCCAATGCCCTAAATAGAGCATGATGTGATTTATCATGTTTATTTAATGTATATGTAGTAAACAAAACTAAAACAATACCCCCATGTTAATTTTATGTTCCAATAGCCACAAATATTTGAAGTGAAATATTTGATTAGGAAAAAAAATAAATACAGCACACTTAATGTGGCTTAAATGTTATATTCAAACAAATTCAAAGCTTTATGTGGAAAGAAATTATTTTTATTTGAATACTTGTAAAAATGTAAATATAATATACATTACATTATTACATATTATTATTACAATAGCATGTACTTCCCTTATATTGTTTGTTTAAATTTAAGAAAAAGAAGGCACTGAAAACTGTTGACACACTAATTTTAACATCGACAAAGAACTGTGAATGATATGCTGTGGTTGTCCACTCATCTACATCAACAAAGTTTAACTCTCGTCCACTAAGGCATTGTGGCACCTCCAGTTTCACTGTCACTATCTGTAGAATCACTTGCACTAGTTATTAGTTTCATTTCAGAATGAGACTGAGGCAAATCTGATTCAGAGCTACTTGAACCACATCCTCTTTCGCTAAAGGATGGTTTTACCAATGAGTCTATGGGCAAGGGCAACTTATCATCACACTGCATTTTCTCCATGAACTGTAATTCTGACTGATTCTCCAGAAGCAAGATATTTTGAGAAAAAAAAACTAGCTTAGTAGTGTGTTGATTTGGTTTTGATTTGACCTGCACAGCCAATTAGGAGAATTCATAACTTCATGTTTGGATTATTATGTGAGTGTATTTACCCTCCTGTTTACAAATCAAGAAAACATATATGTACTCTCTCACACACTTCCTAGGGATAAACATCTGAAAAACATTAATTACAACTTTGAAACTGCCAAGCTTGCCTAATATTGTATTGGCATCCATTCATTATTACTAATGCATTTTATGAAACAGTGAATTTTTAGAAATGTAAAATTCCCTACAGAAAAATAAAACACTGGAAAATTTCCCACCCCATATCTCTGGTCTGGATACATGGCACAGTCTGTTTTAACATGGCTCTGGTGTGGGGTCTGTTTTGCTCCAGAACTAAGCTAGTCTCTACAATGGCAATCAGCAAAGGGAAAATCGCGCACACAGAAAACTCACTAAATATATTTTATATCATTAAATTGCCGCCAAAAGCAGCATATGTTCAGTAATGGAAACCAACTGTGATGTTGATTATATGCAGCTAACACTGAAGATGACTATAAAACACATGAGCCACATGGAGTAAATATCCAGATGGTAACTTTTTTTTTTTAAATGTTATTAAAAACACACTTATCACCCTACACTTACAAAACTGCACATATTGAGCATCCTTGTTTTACCAGTACTTCATATCACAGAAACAACTACGTATCAAAAACATAAAGCTACATATATTAAACCCTTAAACAACATGCATCACATTCCCACAAAAAAACCCAAACCCCTTACAGAAATCTTTTTCTTCATACAAAAACCCATGAAAAAACAATTACCTCAGTAACCACCTGAAACTCTCCACCCCTCCCATCATTCTTCTCTGTTGGTTTAGCAAAACAAGCATTCAGTCCTTTTTCTTCTACTTCTTCTCTGCCTCTTCCATTCCATTCTCTTCTTTGTCCAGATCAATGTAGTAGTTCAGTTAACGCAGCTCCAGCTTCAGGCACTCTATTTCAGTGAAAGCCAACTCCTTAAACACCCAGAGGTTTCTTAGTTTCCATAAACTAGTTTTAAAACATGCTAATGAAGTCCTTAATAATGTCCATATAGTACCATCTCCCTTGCATATGACAAATTTATTTTGTTGACACTCAGAAAGTGGCAGACTCTTTCCCCTTTGCATATGTACACTCCCAAAACATGTTCCACTGTTTCTTCGTCCCTGCTTCTCTTCCTCGGACGCCTTGATGAGCTCGTCAAGCCCTATCTGTGTTGCGCTTCTCTCACTGGCAAGATATTTCTTACAACCATCTATGCTAGGTCAGCATGTTCATAAAATCAGAAGTAGCACAGCTTTAAATGTCACCACTCTTCTGGCAAAGGACTGTGTCCTCCTGGACCATAACCAAAGTATTTGCCATGGCTTTACTGTCACCTTTTCTCGTACGTACTGTATTCCCTTTCCCCTTGGCGCCCATCAGGATCCCTAGCACTCTGATTTCTCCCTCCCTTATTTTAAGGCCCAACATCTCCAAGTCCTTCCAGTTTCCCGCTCCCATTATGGTGCTTTTTTGATCTATTGAGTTTAGCCTCTGTCATTTCTCCATACTCTGATGTATGCAGTAGCACCCTTTCTATTGAAAGGCTATTTCTAACTACTACATTTATATCATCCAAGTATAGTATGCATTTTACCTCACCCCCTCCCAGTATTTTTACTCTGCTTATGATCTTGTCTTTTCTTATTTTTTGTGCTAAGGTTTCATGCCACACACAAACAGTAGTAGTGACAGGGAACACCTTTGTTTCACCCCTATATGGATTTCAAAGGCTCTGCTTAGATTCCCATTAATTTGGACTTGACTCTTTGCTTCTCTACACAACAACCTTATCCAGCATAAAAATTTGTCTAGGAACCCCATTTTTCCTAGTACCTGGTATTGTAATCATGATCCACTCTGTCATATGCTTTTTCTAAATTCAGGTTTGCTATAACTGTGTTTGTTTTCTTCTCTTGGAGCTGATTGTATTAGAGATCCTTCTACCTGGTACTGCACATACTTGGTCTTCATGTATTAACTTCTTCAGGTTTTTGCTCATCCTCAAAGTCACTGTCTTGGCCATTAACTGACAGTTTATATTATGGAGTGTAATCAATGTCCAATTTTTAAGGACATCCTTCTTCCCTTTCTTCAAGAGTAAGATCACAATATTTCTTGTAAAATCTTTTTCAAGATCACAACACCTTTGCTGCACTGTTTTTTTCAAGAGCACAGGACCTCTTGTAAAATCTTTCCCTGACTCTCCTGTTTCTGCCATTTCCTCAGGCACTTTCACTGTATCCCTTCCTACCCACACGGAAAACTTCTCATAAAATTCCATAGGTATTCCATCAGTTCTTGGTGATTTTCCTCTTTTAAAGGGTATTAAACACTCCTCCACTTCCTTTAAATTTATATTTTCTTCCATTTTCTTTGTTTCCTCCTCTACTTTCTCTTCAATCTTTGCCAAGAAATTCATCTTCTTCCAGTCTGTTTCCTTCTTCTGGTATAGCTCTTCATAAAATCTTCTTGTCACCTCCAACACCTCCTCCTTTTCTACCTGGGCACCACTTTCTTCCCACACTGCTTTAAGTTCTTCTTTTGCCACCTTTACTCTGGCCAAAAAATACAGGGACCACACTTTGTTTGCCCCCACCCAGGGTGGTTGTGCTAACAACATTTTCTCTCTTGTCTTGCTTTTAAACCAGGTTTCTAACTCTTGCCTGGTTTCTTATAGCTCTTCTTGTACTTGTTTTCCTTCTGAGGCTTCCTTTGGCAAC